GACATTGATTGAAACATCACATTGGAACGAGAGACGCAGAGAAGAGATGACGCTCAGATCGCTTTATTCTCCTCGTGTCTCTACGTGAGAGTTCAGAAACTTCAGTTAACGTCAGTAATATCTCCAGATGAACACTTACTGGACTGAAGCAGCTCAGCTTTAATTGATTCTCCATCAGTCATGTTTTAGAGTCTCAAATCTGATCCTCAGGATCTTTGGAGGAGCGTTTGTTTCCAGAAGCTTTACTTTCACTGTTCCTCAGTGGAGGAATGATCTTCACAAGCCTCCAGAACATCTCACATCTTCTGAGGTGCCTTTATTTCTTCAGCTCTCAATCAGCATTGCATTGCATTAAATGTTTTAATCATTATAGGCTATATATCATCTCATATATCATCATATCATATAAATCTCATCTTACTAAGACATTATTGGAGATATAGAGCAATGACTGATAAATCATTTTATGTCCGTATCTGCTGTATATTATTATAAGGATCTCATTGATTTACATTACAAGCATCAGAATTCCATCATAGAAATCTCATATCTGCAGCAAATTGCATATTTTTGCTCAGTCTGAGCTGTTTTTTTCCTCCATATTCTCACTGTATCAGACTATATGAGGCATAAAAGCCTGATGATCAAATATGATGTATGTGCATTGTGCAGATCTCTTATATCATATCTGACTTGTTTTGTAGTCTTCCTCATTTAGAGAAACTCCTCTGCTCTGGATCTGACTCTCTGATCGTTTTCTGCATTGTAGGAAGAGTGAAGAGTCAAATGACATTTTATTTTTGATGAAATATATTAGTTATTATAACGTTGTAAGAAACGTTTTTGTAACCTTCAAATAACGTTACAATCACATGACATTTTAGAAGCATTTCAAAACAATGTTCCCACAGCATTTTTATAACCTACATTTGTTACCTGGGCATCTGGTAACCGCAGGCGCTCGTTAAGCATCTTTGAAGCGTCTCTGAAACGGCTCTGAAGTGCTTCTAAACTGGCTCCAGCTGAAGAAAGCCAGTGTTGCCAACTTAGCAATTTTGTTGCTACATTTAGCAACTTTTCACACACCCCTAGCAACTTTTTCTTCCAAAAGCACCTAGCAACAAATGTAGCTATTTTTAAAATTTATTTTGCAACTGTAACTTTTGGTAAGTGACTCAAATCATAAAAAGGAACATTTACCATTTAAATGACACAAAAAGAGGAAACCAGAGATGCCTAGTAGTACACACATCACGTGAATTAAGTTAGCTGCTATTTACAATTGTTTAATAATAATAAAATCATTTGATAATTGTTCATTTATGATACACTTTGTTAGTAGCTTGTACTTGAGATTGTTGATCAGTTGGTACACTGTAAGAAAAATATCTAGAAAAATGGAAATTTTCCAGGACATTATCCGTTATCCATTATCTGTTGTAACCCAAAAACACAAAATACAAAGCGTAATTAAAAATGCAAAAAAATCAATACAGAAAATTCCTTCATATTAACATAGTAGATTGTGCTCTATTTTACGGAATTTTCTTAGAGTGCAGCACACTAACTAACTACTAATACACTGCTTAAAGGTGACATATCATGAAAATCTGACTTTTCCAGGTTGTAAGTGCTATAATCAGGTCCCCGGTGCATCTACCAACCAAGGAAACGTGAAAAAGATGAACCCAGTAACTTTGTTTTGGGAAGCCTTTTTCTGCAAGCGTCTGAGAAAACGAGCACGTCTGATTTCTCTCCCTTGGTGACGTGGCAAAGGGATCTCATTATAATATCACCGCCCCTTAATCTGTAAGTTTTTACCCACGGCACAATCATTTTGATTTCGCAAGCGACAACGGTGTACTAGTTCTAATGCCATGGAGAAAGTTTGAGCAACAGCCGCTTTCTGTGCGTGTGCTTCAGATGTGGGCGTTCCTCCCTTGGTGACGTGGCAATGGGATCTCATTATAATATTGCCGCCCCTTAATCTGTAAGTTTACACCCACGGCGCCGTTATTGTGTTTTCGCAAGCGACAACGGTGTACTAGTTCTAATGTCATGGAGAAAGTTTGAGCAAAACACGCTAACTGTTCTGTGTTTGGCTGCACAGACGAGCACAGAACACTGTTTAGAGTCCCAGCCTCAGAGGAGACAACAGAGCAGTGCATTTATTGATTTATTTACTGTATATTGCTGCTGCCACACAGATCTAAAATAAACATGTGATTTATATCCCAGCTGTTTACCTTCACAGACATAACCCACTGTTTTTGTAACTCGTGTTTTTGTAACGTAAACTTGTGTGTGAATGAGAACTTAGTTTAGTACTGATGCTGTGACAGCCGCTTTCTGTGCGTGCGCTTCGGATGTGTGCGCTCAGAAACCCGTATATCAGAAGTTTAAACTCATATGGTTTAAAACGCATGATTTCAGCGCGATAAACATGATAATCAGAACCAAAACAGATGTTTTTAGCAGGTCCGAGCTGTAATGGCGCAGCTCTATTCTGGAAAAGGGGGCGGGGAGCAGCAGCTCATTTGCATTTAAAGA